ATAGGATTTCCTGCAGAGATGAGTTTTTAAGTATCGCCTAAAGGTGGATAGCGTAGGAGATAAGTGGACAGATTGGGATAGGGAGTTCAAGAGGATTGGAGCCACTCTGGAGAAGTCCAGGAGGCGAGCATGGGAGGAGGTAATGAGAACGGTGATGGTAGCTTTATTGGGGGACATTCTAAAATGTCCTCACTGATATTGGCATTAAAGTGTGTGCAAGTCGAACATGTTTTTTTCTAGTTTGTGATAGAATGGGCAAAGATTAGAGCTGATGGGTTTTATACTGCTATCCAGGACTCCGAGATTTACTCTCACTTTCTGACCTGCTGACAACATTTTACCAGACAGGAATGATATGCAGCTAGAAATAACCTAACTGGGGTTGTAGTCTTTCTCTACTCTATTAAAAAATATTTGTTCCACAATAAAAGAAAAAAAAAAGCTGTTTTATTTATGAATTTTTGCAGTGCAGAACAAAACAAACAGGTCAACAAGAAAGTTGGACATTGAACCAGCAGACTTCTGTGTGGACTTATTTCACTCTCACATTTACACATTGGTCACTGCCAACTCCCCCAAAATGAATTAAAAAAACAAAAACATGCATTATAAAGAAGTCAAGTTTATTAAATGTTAGGTACAATATACATACCAAAGTTATGAACAGTGTACAGAAGGATATAAACAATCAACAAAATGATTTTCAGGTTCAGGTATAACTTTTTTTTTTAGCACCTAGACAAAAATGAGCAGTTAACTAGGGATGCACCGATACCGGTTTCTCAGTATCGAGAACGAATACCGATATTTTGGGTTTTTTGGTACTCGCCAATACGGAATACCAATACCAGAAGTCCCTTTAAGGAAGCCAGGCGGCGTGTAAAGACTAGCCACCCGGCTTCCCAATTAGCAGGGAAGCCGTCCCCATGCTCCTTGTCATCAGGTGACGAGAAAGCATGGAGGCAGCTTTCTAGCCAATCAGGAAGCCGGGTGCCGTGTAATGACGCATTGCCCGGCTTCCTGATTGGTCGAGAAGCAGGCCAATCAGGAAGCCGGGCAACGGCCATTACACGTTGCCCGGCTTCCTAATTGGCCGAGAAGCCGGCTCCATGCTCCCTCATCACCAGGGTACAAGGAAGCATGGAGCCGGCTTCCAGGTAAATCAGGAAGCCAGGCAGCATGTAATTACTCACTGCCCAGCTTCCAGATAACGGAAGCTCAAGTATCGGGCTAGGCACTGGAGCATTTGGGTAGGGACGAGTACTTGCCCAAATACTCGGCATCGGCACTGATACCAATACTAGTATCGGTGCATCCCCACAGTTAACATTTGCAGTGTGGGGGTGGCAAGGGTTAATAAAAGTTTTGACCAGAATCCTTCTTTGAGGCAGCCATATTTTTTCATCATTAAAACAGATAAAAGTATCAATTTTTTCTGATTTGCATTCTTCTTGTGTTATCTTGTTTTAGGTTAGAGCTTTGTCAGCTCATGCGCCAGGTTCAGAATTGTTTATGGATAACCTTTCATGGGTTATTCTTTTCTTTTTTTACCTTAATAATAAAAAATACCCTTAAATAGTCACAGGCTCTTGAAGTTAATTTGATGCAAGCTAGACAGTCATGTCAAACAATCATTTGAAAAAATGTAAATGAATCTGGGAAAGTTACAGTAAAATAATCTAACTTTAAGAGTAGAGAACAGTTAACGATTGCTATTAATATGTTGAAAAACAGTATTTTGCTGCCATCTTCTGGATATTTACCATACTGCAGTTGTAGAAAATTTACCACCCATATTTTCCTAAAGGCATTCTCATACACATGAAGCAGAAATAAACTGCTGTGGAAATTTTGGGGCAGCATCTCTTTAGGTCACATGGGGAAGGGGGGGCAGGCATAGCGGCATTGTGGCAGCAGTAGAACTGGGAATATGTAGCACACAGCACTGACTTATACAAGTCGTTCTTAACCAGGGTTCCATGCAACCCTGCGGTTCCACAGAGGTTGCTAGGGGTTCCTTGCACTGTAGCTGATTGACTTACCATTTGATGATGTCTGTATAGTTCTGGGGTCAATGCCGCTGAAACAGCCATCTGCACAACATCAATGATCTATTTAGCTGTCTCTAAGGAGGGCATTTTTCCACTGGCCACCAGTTAATTTTTGAGGCAGGGGTTCCATCTACACCTAAAAAAGATTTCAAGGATTCAGCAAATATAACAAAGGTGCATCATCTTAATTATGAGTCATTTGTCATAAGATATACAACTAAAGTGGATACATACTGAAGTCCTGCCTACATTATTCCATTATACCACAATTCCATGCACATGTTCAACTGGTAACATTTTCTCAATTCTAGTATTCACAAATATCTTTCATTTGATTGGATGTTTCAAATAAGAACAAGACCACTAGGCAAGCCTATAAATTACTTTTATTAAGGTACGCACACAGTGCGGTGTGAGGTACGCACACAGCTTAATTAACAATAGCAAATACAATAATAAATATGTATAATGATGTACTTTCACAGTATAGGAATTGTGCAGAGAAAGAGAGAGGCTAATTTTTTGAGAATTTTTACTCAACAATCAGCGAATAATCACTTAATGTATCCAATCCTGTGAAAAACAAATTGTTAATAACTCCGCATATCCAATCACGTTCAGATGTTTTTCATATTATTGGATAAATGAAGACATATTCTCAATTTTTTTTTAGTAGATGAGAGAGAGAGA